GTTATTCTCGGTACTATAGTAAAGTAATCAAACAAATAAATACTTGTGCAGAGCTAACTATTTATACTTCTAATAATCTCTTTCTATTTAGAACTTTGATGTATGATGTTTGGCAAAAGGCTCAAAAGGCAGTTCTAATAATATGGATACATCCTTATAATATATAAATAGTCTATTATCATGTTATTAAACCATTTTAAACAAATAAAAACATTCTCTCAAACCATAAACCACTTCTGTGTCTACTGTAATGTGTAATAGTAACTATAATCTATCTATTAATAACTATAGCACAATCGGCTTAATCAAACTTGTGTAAGAGTAAATGCTCTCGAAATCTCTGTGTAGTAGTACTAATCATGGTTTGAGAATTACTACCCAACAGTAGATCATTCTATTTAATTGCTACTAAGCATAACTGATGGATTACTACCCAGTAGTAGATCATTGTAGTAAAGTGCTACCAATCATAGTTGGTTAGTTGCTACCCAACAAGAGATCACACAATATCATAACTACCCAACATGTTTATGAGTAACTACCCAACCGGGAATTATACTGATTAATTCCTACCCAGCTGACAGTTACCCACTACTCAACAGTGTATCAATGAATATCATTACTACTCAACGTCCCTGCTTAAATGTTGAGTAGTTGATGTACTAATTTTAAAAATTTTGATGACTTTACTACCCAGCATTGGACCATAGTGTCGTATCATCAACACACACTTTCCTATCGGAAGCGAAGTGTATGTCAAGAACATCGAGAAACGATCCAAGACGGATGCTAATTATGTAGGTCCTCTTATCGTTGCCAATCTCACCACCAACGGATCATATGTTCTTCAGTGGAAAGGAAACAAAACTCTCTTTTACAGAGATGTCCCTACCACTCAAATTAAGCTTGCCACAACTGATAGTAATCCTGATAGTGAAGTCAGATATGAAGTTCAAGCTATTCTCGATCATGAGAGAACAGGTTCGGAACACTTCTATTTAGTCAAATGGAAGGATTACACCGAAGATGCTAACTCTTGGGAACCATACTCTAACTTCGATTCTGATCATCATATAATCATATACTGGAATCGTCGTAAGGAACCCAATCCTCACATACCTGCACCTAAAACAGTTAACAGTCAAAGGTTCAAACCTAGAACTATTTCTACAACTGATGGTAACACTACCTTTCCTAAGGGTAATACTACCAATACACCAAGTAATAATAACAGACCTACAAGTGGAACTACCAATGTTAACGGTAATACTTCCAGATCTAAACACATTATTACTAGATCAAAGGCTAACTACCTTAAGTAATTGACTTGTCTTTTTCCGTACTTTTTACCTACTGGGTTTTTTATCTTACACGTTTTTATCGACTAACTAATTACTGCGATTATTTCTTTTATATACGCAACCACAAACTTATCGTTACAAACTTCCATATATGCATCAATCATGTTAATATGTCATTGTCTGGAGGAGGGCTATGTTGTATAATACCTAGTAGTGTCCACCACTCTAGACACTATCCAACTATGTCTTATTGGTTCTATCTTCCTAATCGACAATGACCTATCAACTGGATCCCTTCACATGATCTCACTGGTTAATTCATTATGTTCTTAATATTATTGTACATCCGCTTAACATTGACGTTCCTTGAACTATTCAGTACCGAATATCAGGAATACCCAATAGAGGATCCACGATCTATTTAAGAGCAGTTCTGATCTATCTTAATAATGTCATATCCGGATAATCCTCTCTAGTTATCGTTTATCCCTATAAACGTTTACTCATAACTACATCTAATAGGTTCACTACATTGAACGAGTCATATAACATGGATCATAGTTTAATACTCATCGATAGTTTAGCCGTATCTCTTTTCTTATAAATAGTCTTGTTGTTTTCTTAATTAATAAACAATCATTTTTACTCTTGGTCTGATTACTTTTATCGTTCCTTACTATTTTATTACGTTTGTATACTCGTATACAACAATGAGTATATTCAACTTCAAAAAATAAAAGAAAAAGTGTAAAGGAGACAGATAAGTTAATCAGACCGAAAGAAAGATTGATTGCTCTTTGTTATTACAAATGGATGAGAGTATTTATATTAAAATGTTATACGGAGAATGGATCTTGAACATACATGAGTGTGTGAATTGACATGATCCAATTACGGATGTCAATACAGGGGAACAACCTATCAAGTGTCAATCAGGAAGAATGTAGGATGAGACCATGAGGATGATCTGATCTGAGATGAATACATATAAGTCTTCTAATGAATCGTAGCCCATCTATTGGATACTCTTGTTACTCGGCATGGCGTGTTTAAAGAAGTATTAATTGGGAAGATGTATTAGAGGATTTAAGGTATTGATCATTACTGAATCGGTATGAAAGTAGCTTATATTGAGCGGATCAATATACTAATTGCATTGACTTCCAATTATTTCCTTATGAGTTTATGTACTCAGATTTTGACACTAGTATGAATATGAGATTGTCGATTTAGGTAATACAATTAAGGTACCATTGTATGACAGTTGAGATAGAACTACAGATGAGGATCTGGAAAGATTCTGATACAACACTGCCTACCATCTCTATCTGATAAGACATACAATGCTTTTTCTCCCCATCTATCTCTATCTCTCTCAACATACAATCATCACAATGCTTCTTATACTCTATGGTGATTCCATAGATAGAATAACCAGTTTTATATTCATTGCAATAGCTTTATTCAGTGCAATAGTTTATTCTATTTATAATAAAATACATTTGATATGCATTATATACAATAAAAACCAAAATAACAACGTCAATATGACGATTTCTGATATGTATCTGTCCAATAGTGACTGTGTATATGATGAGCATGTATCCAATAGAGACTGTATATATGAATCTTTCGTCCGAGTTACTGTCACGTGATTAAAAATGGCCGGTCCGAAGTATTACGACTGATAACATCCCGTCCGTTAAATCGTTAGATTCGTATACGTCCTGAAAAGTCGGACTAGTCCGCCTAAATCAGTCGTTCTGTCCGTTATTAGTCGTCCAAATCTTTCATAGTGTTCAGAAAGACTTATCTCTCACCGAAGAAAGTAGGATGAGATCTGCCTGGCAGATAAATTACATACGTTGTTTGTCGTCCAAATGACCGGACTTTTACCTACCAACCGTCTGGTCTCGCCGATTTTCGTCCGTCCAAATCTTTCATAGTGTATACCTTTATCTAGATAGTAATTATCATGTACCAATGTCTGTTATCTCTTCCATCCAGCTGTTACCTTATGTATGATATGTTCTTTAGTCTATGGTATAACAGTACAATGTATTAACGTCTATCTACTACTAGGTGATCCATCTGATATTATAAGTGTATATGTAAGTAGTTGATATAATATACTCACGATCCACTTACTGATACTTCTTCTGCCTGTAGTTCTATTAAGCCTCGTCTCCACTGTATATGTTGGTCCTTTCTTGTGTGTGGTATGTATCTCATTGGTGAACTAGCTTACACTGTACTTACTCTATCTTTTCAATTAGTTGCATCAACAGGAATAAAGAAGTGGAATGTAAGTAGTTCTCATGTAGTCTATAATATCCAGTTACTAAAAGTATTTCTTTATTGTATATAATTGTCGAGTCATTCTATGTAGATTAGCTTCCGTCTTGTACAGCAACTGATGTGCATTCATTCACTCAATTACAACAACACATGCTTACTACCTTCATCTTCTTCAAAAGCCAATGTTTACAATGCTTCTTATGCTTCATGGTGCACAATAGATTCAATATTTAGCTCTTCAATTCAATACTCATAGCTTAGTTCAATTCAATTCTTTATTCTATTCATAATAAAATACTTTTGATATGCATTGCATTCAATTATAACCATAATAATATCGTCTATCCTATAGTACATCTAATGAATCCATCCAATAGTAACTGTATCTATGAGATGTATGTATCTTCCGTCTGGTCAAAATTCACGGGACCCCACCAATAGAAAAACTTATCTCTCACCGAAGAAACTAGGATGAGATCTGCCGATAAATTACATACGTTGTTTGCCGTCCAAATGACCGGACTTTTACTACCAACCGTCTGGTCTGGCCGATTTTCGTCCGTCCAAATCTTTCATACTTTGTAATGGATGCCCAAGGAATGAAAGGATACTTTGTAGTCATGGACAATGTTAGAATACATGATAACAGTCGTGTACCTGCCTAAATTGAAGCAAGAGGCTATAAGCCTTGGTTTTTCTACCCCTATTCACCATTTCTCAATCCTATTGAAGAGTTTTGGTCTAAAGTAAAGCAAAATATGAAAAGACATCCTTTAGATTCTCATGACACTTTAACACCTCGAACAGTCGTTGCATGTCAAACAGTATCTCGCAGAGACTTTGAAGGATGGATTGCACATTCAGAGAGTTTCTGGGAAAGGTGTATGAACTGTGAAAAATGCCTTTAATAAAATAGGGTGTAAACAAGAAACAGGCATAGTCTCACTCTGTTTCATTTTAATTTCAAAAAATAATAAGGCATCCCAGCATAGATTTTAATAAATTTCATTGGCTTATAAATTTATACCACTGCCCTTGTCACATCGTCCCGGCTTTATTCAAAATTGTCTCACTATAAAATTATTTCTTCCCAAAGATAAATTACATAGTCCAAATATTTATTCAAAACCCAGTAATGTAGAAATGTGGCTTGGTGCCCAGTTTTTGCTTAAATAGGTGGTAAAACTTCTTTAGCGGAAGAGCCATGTGACAAGGACATGTAATTTACTGCGTAACAAAATAATAGTCGCTGCGATCAGTTTTTTTATTAAGTCATTTTATAAAAATTAGGCGACACAAATTTGAAGTGCGATAATAGAAAAAAAAACGCCGGTTAGAAGATTCACTGAAAAAAAGGTTTGACCTACTTCGTAATATATAAGATCTTCTGTAAGATTAAATTGCCCGATGGCTGGATTGAACAACCGACCTTTTGTTTACAAGACAAACGCTCTGCCACTGAGCTAAACGGGCAATTTGTTGTTGTGTAAATTTCAGAGAGACCAGAGACCAGAACAGGAAATGAATAAATACGAATATAACCAAAGAACAAATATCAAAAGTAAACCAAATATCAAAGTTAATTAAGAGTTAAGAAGATGATGTTTATTTCCATTAAGTTGAGGGGATATTTATATAATACATTTGGTACAATGGAAATAGCGAGAAGTATACATGTGTGGTATAGAAGAAGCTAGAAGAGAACAAACTAGAATATAGCTTTGCATAAAGAAGTATCGAGAAGGAGTGGAATGAGTGTGATACAGAGACTACTGGAAAGTACCAGAATCGCTGGAGTCTGAAGGATTGTCTACAAACCGGGTATCTTGTGTGACCTTTCTACTTGAGCGCTTGCGAGTTGGAATCTTCGGCTTGAACTTACGCTTGTTGGTCCGGGGAGGCACGTGAGGGAACAAGCTTTCCATATATGGCTGACCATCTATTTGGGCATCGACAGTTGTCGGTGTGGATTACACAACAAGTCCCTATATAAAAACCCTGTTCCCTCACGTGCCGCCAAGAGTGAATAAGCGTAGATTCAAACCAAAAGCTCCAGCCAATAAGCGTTCGAGGCGTAAGATTGAACACTGATCCCATTTTTGACAATCATCCGTATGAACTGCCTTCCATATATTTATCCTTCTGACACCTTATATCTCATGCTTTCCATTAGTTTCTTCTTCACTTGATTCTTTTCTATGTAGATTATTCTTCTTCTTATTATCATGATTTTCATATTATTCTTACACACTTCTCTATGATCATGATATTCTCGTATACTCTATCCACTCTATATTTTATATTCATCATCTTCTATCCTTCATATGTTATTATATCACACTTGTATTATTAATTATCCTCTATTCAAATCATATCATATCTTTTATTCATTTTATATAAATATGCATCAAAATGCGTACAATAAACATCATCTTCTTAACTCTTAAATAACTGTTACATTTAGTTTATAGTATCTTTTAATCCGTGTATTAAAAGATAGATTTTGGATTCTGATTACACTACAATTAAGCTTTGGGTTACCTGCGAATTGACATTTTTTGTAATGTAATTTAGGCAGTAGACAGAGACACAGAGTAGTCGAGATGAAGTTGAATAACAGCAGAGACTTTTATACAATTTAGAAGTCCAATGGCAAATAAAAGTAATAAGAGATTTCAGTTGAAGAGTAGTAAGTTAATTAGTTTATTTCCTATGCAAATCAATGCATATTTATATGTTTTTGAATATGAAATATAAGATGATTTTGATACAAGTTGATGAGTAATAGAATATGATAATGACTGCATAGAAATGGATAGAATGATGTGATATAGAATAGAATAGTACAATAGAATAGAATTGTAATGATATCATCCTTCGCATTGTGTCTAAATAGTAATGATCACCGAGAATGTTGATGTATGTCCCTGAACTTCGTCGATCCTGAACATGTTCATCTGATCTTTGAATCCCTTTTAATTGTTATATAATCACAGTCACTTGGCAATAATCATTTGTATAAATATGTCAACCTGATTCACCTCGATGAACCTTAGCTTGTTATCGTATTTACTTTATTCAATAAATACATATAATTATTCTCCCTCTCCCTAAGCACTTAATACTTATCTTGTCCGTCTGTTCTCTGGATTTTACAGTATAACAAGCTCAATTGTATTACCTGCTTTCCTGGTCCTGTTCTCTTGTTCTCTTGTTCTCTTGTTCTCTTGTTCTCTTGTTCTCTTGTTATCTTAGTCTTGTTTCTGTGATACCTCACCTATATATCCTTATCTATTTATTACTGTCTTGTACTTATCATGTCTGTCAGATCATTTCATTCCAATTTTATGGATGCCGATGAATCGTCTGCTGTTCCTGTTTCTAGTGAAACTAATCCATTCAGATTAGTCAAATCGCACCGAATTAACAATCCACCTATGTTTGATGGAGACCCATCAAAAATTGCAAACTTCATCGGTCATGTCAAAATGTACATATTTACAAACAGTGCCCATTTTGCTGATGAGACTAGCAAGATTATCTTCTTATGCTCATTTCTTACCGGTTTTGCATTTACCTGGGCGTTACCATACCTGGATAACCTTGGCACTAGTAATCTCGACGTTTGTATGTACTCCTTCCCTTTGTTTCTGGAGCAGTTCCAACGTAGTTTCGGTGAAGTTAATGAGAAGCTAAACAACGAAACCAAGCTGATACGATTGCGACAAGGCAAAACATCAGCTGTTTTTCGTCGTCTATCATCTAGATCTGGATTCAATGACCCTGCTTTACTATGTATGTTCAGAGAAGGATTATCCGAAGATCTGAAGGATGAATTAGCTACCAGAGATCTACCTGATGACCTGTCGTCCTTCATGATTAAAGTCATTGAGCTGGATAATCGTATCCGAGATAGGGAGAATCGTCGTCGTCCTTTTCAAAGAAATAATGTCTATCTTGCTCCTCGTCTCCGTGCAGTACCACCCTCAACACAGCCTATACGTCAGACGGCTGAGGGTATCAACCCATTCCGGAAGTATGCTCCTCTTTCACCAGAAGAAAAAGATCGAAGGAAGAATCTTGGTTTGTGCCTTTACTGCGGTGGTCAAGCCCATAATGCTGCAAACTGTCCCAAAAAGGGAAAAGCCCCAACTCAAGGTCTCTAAGAGAGTATTCCTTGAGTGCTAGTTTAATTAATCCTGAATTTAATAAAATATCCTTAAATTCGTCAAAATCTCTCTGTCCTACCTCCAATCCCATTAATATAACCCCTGATCCCTGTATAAACCCTGAAACCAGCAAATCTTCAGTCATTGTCCCCAATCAAGAAAACACTAATTCTCCAGTTAGTAGCAGATTTCAAATTGCACGTAGTCTATCACTGTAATGTTTATAAGTTATAACATAACAAGTCAGCTATATAAGTTACCAAATATAGAACTGACATAAAAGGGATATGTCGATCATTTACTTAAAAGGATATCAGATAATCAGCCAGTGAAATGTAACTGAGAAAGAAGAAATCTCTCAGGCTGAATCTGAATACACTCAGGGATTTAAGCGTATGTGAATTCTGCTTTGATAATCAAGCATATATCACCCACTGGGAAAATACACCATTTTACCCAGGCTCAATATCTCACTCTGCATTAAGCATTATTAACACTCAACTATTATGTTCCCATACGCTATAAATATATCACATACACATATATCATTACCAAGATAATATTCCCACAAGCTATTAGCTCATCACAGACTGACATATCTCCCATGAATAACTTATCTGTCCATTCCCACAGATCAAATCCATTTAATATAAATACCCATCAGAGCATCGTTTAATACCATATTAATTGTAAGTTATCAAAACTTACAAAGTGCTTTTTTTATTTAATTTTTTGAAAGGAAAAAAAATTATTGAATCTGACAATCTGACCAAAATGAAATGAAATTGATTAAGGGGAAGTACTTGCAGAAGATTCAACAAATAATAAATTAAAAATAATTTATTTTCATCTATTAATTTATTATAAAATATTAATTACTAAATTAAAATAAATTGATATAATTAATAATTAATTTGGTTATTTATTTAATTTTTATTATAATATTTTTTATATCCTAATAATAATCGTTGCTCTCAAGTTTACATACAATAGAGGAGAGACCTCACCCTTTATTATACGTATACGTAACCACACCTCTTTTAAACATTTCACAATAAAGGTTAATCTAATCGAACCTCTTGTTGTTTTCTACTGTTGATTTTTTACACTTTTTTTTTTGTATTTGCTCACTCCTTGACCAAATACTTCAATCACCCATTGTCAAGCCATTGTTCGTTCCTGTTACTCTCCAATTCCATGATAAAGAAATCAAGACGCATGCAATGGTGGATTCTGGATCCATGTCGAATTTCATCAATAACCTATTTGTCAAGCAACACTTGTGCCCTACTCAAGCTAAATCAGATCACCTGGAAGTCAAAATAGTGGACGGGCGTCCTATATCATCTGGCATGGTTACCCATGATACTACAATGAAAATGATTATTAATAGTCATACTGAGAATATCACTTTCAATATAGTTTCCTTAGGTCAATATCCTACCATTCTAGGAATGCCATGGTTATCGCAACACAACCCCCTTGCTGATTGGCAATCACGATCGCTGTATTTCAATTCCGTCTTCTGCTCAACTCATTGTAACAACTCCATAGATGTCGCTCCTATCACTTTCTCCGAGGAAACCCCTGTTTTGGGAATAGAGCTCCAGCGCTCCTCTGTAAGAGCCCCTGATTCAATAGACCCTGAGATCACCTCTTCCCAGTCGATCATCCCTGAGTCTATAGTTCCTGATATTAAATTGATCAACATTGATGAAGTAGATCATTGTCAGGAGAATGATGAGCAAGTATTCGTCAATGAAAATCCCAACTCGCCTGCCGATGCCACTATCGCCTCTGCAACAATCACTAATACTACTGATAAAACGACAGATATGGTTCCATCAAAGTACAACGAATATCTAGATGTATTTAGTGAGAGGTCTGCCAACACCCTTCCTGATCATAAAGGTCAAGCTGACCACTCCATTCCACTTGTAGACAAAACCCAGCCTCCCTATGGACCCATTTATTCTCTATCCCAAGATGAACTGAAATCGCTGTCTGAATATATTAAAGAGAACTTGGCTAATGGTTTCATCAGGAGATCTACAAGTCCGGCTGGTGCTCCTATCATGTTTGTAAAGAAGAAGGATGGTTCTTTACGTCTATGTGTCGATTATCGAGGTCTGAATAAAGTGACAGTCAAGAACAGTTATCCTCTCCCCCTGATCAATGAATTGATGGATAGATTATCCACTGCTAAAATATTCACCAAGCTCGATATCCGTAATGCTTACCATCGAATACGTATAACTGAAGGTGATGAGTGAAAAACTGTCTTTCGGACAAGATACGGACACT